AATTTTCGTTAAATACAATTCGGTTGCCCTCACCTGTGTTCTCCTTCACTACAGTATTACTTTGAAATAACAATTGAATGTTAACATCAAATAATAGTCAGTTCGAAGGTTTGGACGTAGATTTTACATCAGTTAGGATATGTCAACATATTATGTTGTGGTGTGAGCTACTTAAAGTAGTATATGATGTGAGCGTCAAAGTAATGTCTGGCAGCAGAAGATGGGGGAAGATCAAGAAAGGAAGAGTTAGAACACAATGGAATTGTATGAAACGCATGAATAGTAGTGACAATGGATTGATGTTTTGCAACAGGAACAGTCCAGTTCGATATGATGAACTGATGATATTTTGCAAATGAACGATTTACGATATGGTTTTCCAATTTTACTGAGTAATTCTGTAATTTTCGCTAAATACAATCCGGTTGCCCCACCTGTGTTCTCGTTCACTACAATGTCTGCAATATATTGGAGAGAGAGAGAGAGAGTGAGTGATAATCCCATTGAAATTCAAACCTTTCCATATTTAGCGCCATAGTTTGAGATTATATTATCGCCGATTGGTCAAGTCGATTCATAACTAACCTTCAAAACAATTAGTCATTGAATTATTATAATACAAGTGGTGGTATTTTGTTCAAGTTTCAACAGGAATATTAACAATTTAAGCCGTTGAGTTCTGATATGAGACTCACCAGCAGTGTGCATTCACGACTTCACGATTTCCATTACTCGCAGGAATCGAACCAGTGGAGTTGCGGTCTCGCGCATGAACACTTAACCCTTTGACTACAGAGCTGATGGTATCCAGTTGTGTTAATAATGTCTGAATACGATCATCCTAGTTAACATACGTTCAAATTGTTATCAATTAGAAGTTTAGACACGGGTCTTGCCCAGTTTAAAACCAAAACAAGTGATTTTGGTAAAAAGCCGTTCTAATATTCATTATAAATATAAATATACACATCATTACGTAAACAAATATTACCATTCAGTTATTCCACCAACAATTGTTCAATTAGTCAAATCAACAGCAACAACAAATAACTGATATTCTGTCCTTTCTGGATAGATCAGATTCGATCGACAGATGATATTTGGTCGCTTTATAAGTGTGCTTCAATTCACAATCAAAATGCACAATCCCAGTCAATGCAGGCAACCAACATAATCAAAAGAGGAACAAATCAATATGGCTGTCGCTATGACAAAGTATCAGCTTAAACAACATCAATGCAGTTCAGAAATTAGCTTAGAAACTTAGTGAAGACAAAAGAAATAGAAACTATAATAAAATACAAATATTATCATCTCGAAATGGAATCGAACAGACTAACAAAATGTACAACTGAAGGAATCAACAAGGACAAATTACAAATGTTTACAGCATGGAGTGATTTTCACAAACAAAGCCTTCAAAAAATGCATCTTACATGATTGCATATTTCGAAAGTTTATAAATTTCCCTATCATGTTGTGTAACATGAAAGTTTGTCAAAAAAAACAATACAGTTTTCAGCATAAACATTTTCAATCAAACCGCTATTGATCATAATTCATTGTTGAATTCAACTCGTTCATTGTTTTAATAAACCAACTCACCTGAATGTCATTCACTAATTTAACAGATTTGATTGAATACTTTTTTTTACTTTTACTCAAATTCAAAAAATCTTAAAATGTAATTTTGCAGAAAAAAAAAACAAAGTTTCACGAATCAACCAACCAACGTCTATCATCATGAACTTTTATTGATTTTTTCATTCTTTCCTACCTCTGAAAACATTATTAACAACTCAAAGTTTTTGGGTGTTTGGGTGTTTACCAGCTGCTTAACATAAAAAATATTTTAACGTTATTTTCCTTATTCAACTAATTTTTCTGTTTTTATTTTGTTTTGTTTAAGAGACCCAACTTTCTTTCTTGCCTTATTATGACTATGGAAACACGCATTAATCATCATAACAATAAATTGAATATTGAACACTGAATATTGAACATTGAAACAAAAAACAGAGAGAGGGAAAATTCAACTAATTTAAATTTAAAGTCAATATCTACTTGTTCCTTTCTTAGTATAAGGTATTATTATTATTATTATTATTATTATCATTTAAACTGGCTGGTCTTTAAGTAAACTTCCAACTGTATAATGAATAAAATACGTTTATTTATATATATGTAAGTTTGTTTTCGGTAAATATTTACTCAATAGAATACAATAGAATGACTCATTCATTACGCCCCATGGTATGTATGATCTCATAAAAGTCATTGTCTAAATATAAACTCTAACACACAACTAGTGGTAGACAGTGAATGAGTGTCCCTAATTTTTCCGTCATAAACTGATTGGAGGATAGCAGTCAGTGAACAGTGGAACAACACCAATCATTGGTAAGATCATTTGTAATCAATCACACACACACACAGTCACACAGTACACAGTACTACATACAACAGTCATCCATTGAATAGATTGAAGAAAAGGTGTAGTAGACAATTCATATTGACTTGGCAACCAGAAAAATAAAACAAGTGATTTTTCATTTTTTTTTCTCTGCTATGTCTACCCCACTTCTTGAGTAAGTGAGTGAATGAATGACTGAGTGAGTGAGTGAGCGAGTGAATAAATCAGGTGACTTTGAAATACACACCAAAATAAGTTTTTCTTAGGCACCCACATATATATATATATATATATATATATATATATATATATATGATTATTTCTTATTCGTTTCTAGTTTAGAAATATTATGATTATACAATCCAAAGCGGGTAACACAACACAACACAACACAATACAATACAATATATCACATTTGAAATAGAAAATCAATTTTCTGATATTTATATATATATATAAAAAAACAGGGTCTAATTTGCATTCACACTTGTCGGTTATTATGATTATTACTAGTCAACGTTGAAATCCAAAATAGTGAAAATTTCCTTATTCATATACATGCAAATCTTCTTTGTATCTATCACGCAAACATTGAACATTGAACAAGTTGAACATTGATCAAAAATTGTTATTTTTTTTCTCTGTTTATCCAATTGAAATATATTAAGTAGAATGTTTCCTATACTTGAAGAGATTAGTTTCAATTGTCCATGGTCCAATGAATTATGGTAAGTTCAATGTTCTTGTTTTGTTTATCTATTCGTTAATTGATTTTATTAAACACAGAGTAATTCATAAAGGTAGATTTTTTGAAACTAGGAATCGATCAATGTTAGACCACTGCATTAGAGAAACTTGGAAGCATTGAGTGGATGGCCGTTTCGTCCCAGTGTATGGGACTACTTGTAGTGCCTCCACATATATTTCAGTTCTCTCACATCTAACTTGGTTAAATAAATTAATCGAAAGGGCTTAACCAAGTTAGATGTGAGAGAACTGAAATATATGTGGAGGCACTACACACTCATCAATGGCAGTGCGCATCCATGACTCCTGCGCCCCGCACATGATTGGAACTCAGGACCTTCGGTATTGTACACGAATGCCTAACCTCTGGAGTCGTGGATGTGCACTGTCACTGATGGGTCCAATACCAGGATGAACCCCGCAGGATTCAAACCCAGGACCTTCGGTCTTGTACGAGAATGCCTAACCTCTGGACTACTGAGCCGGTTTCTAACGCTGTCGTTAATGTCTAATTTGATCAATTCACGGACTTACGCAACCTCATACACACAGTCTTCGGTAGTTACTGTCTACACCCGAACAGTTTGAACTTCATTGGTCAAGACTTCCCACTAGAAATTGTAGAAGATTTCTCACGGACCCAGTCACCAGTGAGCACAGGTAATTGTATTACTGGGTTGTGAAGATTTAGTTAAAAGGATGAGCGCTGCTGATGAGTCCCATACACTTGGACGAAACGGTCGTCTTTCAATGCTTCCAGGTTTCTTCTAATGCAGTGGTCTAACATTGATCGATCCATGGTTTTAAAAATGTATAACTTAACAATCTTCACAACTGCGCAATAAAAATCTAAATGCATATTTTTCATTCAAACTAACACAGTTTGAAAATATATATATATATATATATCCCTTCAAAAATTCATCTCTTATCACATCATCAAACTGGCTTGACAATCTATTTAAATGTCCAAGTTCTTTTTAGTTTCTTTTTGTTTCAATTAGCAATAAATAATATTCATTATTTTATAAGAAGATTTAAATTTATCTGTTACACATTGAGTGACTAATAATTGTGATGTTTCCAATTGGATTTGGTCAGTTTTGAAGTTAGTTTCATCAACATTCACACTGGACGTGCATGTGTACTACTTGTAGACAACATAAGAGGTCTCGCAGGTT